GAGATGGGTTACCTTACAGGAGGCCCTGGAGTCTGCTCAGGCTGCACAGAGGAGGCTCACATGAAGAGAAATGCAACAGATGCTGAGGTTACAGTCAGAAAATCAGCCCTTTCAGGGCCATGCCTATTTTTTTTTTTTAATAGCATGTAGTTCTTTTTCTTGTTGCTAATAAACTGGGATTAAGGTTGGTGTCCCTCGAGTGCCTGCAGCTTTTAAGCTTTTAGCTCTGGGATACAGATTGCCTTGTGCCACAAGCACTGCAGTAAATCCCACACCTCTAACCCTCAGTAACTAATGGGGCACAAAGCCACAGTACAGAACAACTTGAAGCTCTTTATTTAGATTTCTTCTTGCGATGCCTTCTGTTCAACTAAAGTGGAGACTTGTGAGGAATTAAAAAAAAAAAAAAAAAGAAAAGTCTTTATAAAATAAAGGCAAAAGAAAGATACATACTAAGAAGAAAATTCTCACAACCAAAGATAGTCTGACCAGGGCGGATAATTCATGTCAAGGAGAAATTTAGCAGCTTGGTTGGATGTGAAATCAGAGTGGTAAAATAAAGAAACACCTGGGACATTTTTTCATCCTATCAGGTGAATACCCAAAGTATTCATAACAACAATAGATCACAGTCGGCTGCAGAAAAATGTGGTATGCTTGGATATATAGTTTTATATATTTCACTGACTGTTTCATAAGATTAAATGGCAGATATTTAGATTTCAGCTGAGTTCTGCCTATTTCTTGAAAAGGAGTTTTTTAAGGAAAAAGGCAGAACATCTCACTGCCCTGGTTATAGGCAAATGTGTAGAAGCAGAGTGTAGCTTGGCAGAATGGCTGGCTGCAGGAGCAGGCAGAGCTTTCCAGCACTTGCACCTCACTTTGTGCAGTCCAACACACAATGCTGCATTTCAGGGGTCTCTGGCGTGTTCAGAACTGAACCCCTATATAAGCACTGTTACCACTTACTAGAAACTGGTACTAAAAAATTCACCAAAATTTAAATTCTGCAGCTCTTTATGTTTTTCACTGCCCAGGGCTCATTTTATAGGTATTGTTTGTCCTTTTCCTTAAAACTACAACTTGCACTTTCCAAAAAGAACAAGTTCTTTGCAATTCCTTAAAGACTTTGTAGAGGAATTCTAGATTCCCTTATCTTTCCACTGGGAATCTCTCTCACACATGGTTTTACTAAACCATAAAATTAGGGCTAACTAGTATGGCCTGTCCAGGCAGTAGCTGGGAGGAGCAGGATGTGTGTGTGAGCTCTTGCAGGGCTGTTCATCAGTCTCCCACCCAAAAGCCTTGCACACTACAGAGGGTGCAAACAGAAGTGGGATATCTGGAAGGACCCAGACAAGCAAAAAGGGAATGCTTTTTGCATCGTGGCAAAGCGGCTCCATGAACATATTCACTGACCGTCCTCTCTTCTGGGCAGGCAGCTCCTATTTTCACATCTGAACTCATGCTCTAGTCTTTCACCCGAAACTACACTCAATGGCTAGCACCATGTTTATATTTACATCTTGCTGCCATAAGCCCTAAAGGACTATAAAATTACAAGAAATATTTGCCACACCATTGACAGCAGTAACTGAGTGAAGAATTGCCAAATGGGAAATCCAAATTTGCAAACTCAGTATTCTGGGCCGGGTGCCAAGTCTGTCTGGGTGCTGCGGAGGTGACACATTCAGTCTTCTCACAGGGATGCCAACGTGCCAACTGTATCCCTGGCACGGCATCTTCTGACAAACTTATGGAAAAGAACTGCTACCAAGTCCAGAGGGACATGCAAGCTGCTTTCTGAGCTTCCTTGGCAGCAACTCCATTTCCAAGTTGTGACTGTACTTTCTCCTATTTACAAGACCAGTTTTTTGTGATATGCTGTGGTCTCTGGTAGGATTTTGAAAAGTGCAAAAATGACAGCAGGATGCTGGTTTCCAAGTATAAACTAGTAAAATCCAGAGTAATTTTATTTCTCTAAGAAAAAATAATATAGATACTCATTTACTGCAGATATCATGTGTTGTCACCAGTGTGGGAGAATCCAAATCCAGTTGTTAGCTGTCAAATGTAAAACATGATCATTAGAATATGAAGGTTGTGGGGCTGATCTCTAAAGCTTCCTCTTTCCAAACTGTTCTTCTTACTCATTGTCTCACAGCTAAACTTCTTCTCTGTCTGTCAGTAATTTTGAAAATGAAAGAAAAAAAATTGAAAAATCCTCCAATCTTCCATGGGGCTGCATGACCTCTAACTTGCAGAAATCCATTAAAAGAAAGCCTTTTAGTAACCAAATTGTGTCATTTACAACTGCACAGCAGCCAGGAAGAGCACCATAAATTACGATTCTGTCACTACAGCAGACAATGGAAAGTGTGGGCAGGCTACTGCTATAAAGGAGGAAAACTAGGAGAGTGATAGAATTTAATTTAAATGGGGTTTTTTTTGGCTAATTTACTTCATGTAATAGCAAAATTGGTATTTACAGGTTAGTTATTTTTTGGCTGTATATGGAAGATTTAGCAAGATTATATAACATTGTTTATTTTTAAGGTGTTCCAGAATAAAACCACCAAATCCAAGCCTTTTTAATTTTTTATCTCTTTTATATATGAAGGAAAAAAGAATGTAAAATTTGCCTAGCATATTTAGTTATTTCTTTTTCATACCATTTGAAAATTTGTCTACTGTTGAAGCATGGGCAAAGAATGGTGCCTGGGAAAGTGGTGAAATAATGTCACTGTGGGGTAAATGGAGCAGACTGTCACTGAGATGCTGTGGGTTTATGTGGTTACTCTTTCTTTTTAACAAGCAGCTGATTATTTGGAGAAAGGTTGTCTTGTTAAAAATTCTCAGCATACTTTTTTTCCCTAAAATATAAAAACCAGTAGCATGTATCTCTGAGTACTTCCAATAGGTATTGCAGGGAACCTAGAGCTGGAACTTTTAAGGATATTTTTGAAAAGGAAAAATAAAAAACAAACCAGAAAAAAACGCCAACAATTCTGAAGTCTCTTTACAACTCTTCTCCTGATTTTTGAATCCTGTTATATACATATCATAAAGACATTATAGAAAGAACAGAAGGCTAATTTTAGAAACTACAGGCTACTTAAGTATCTGTAAAATTATCTCAGAAATGCATATTTCCCCTTTATATTTCCACCAGTCTGCACTGGGACAGTGAAGCTAGTGAGCTGAGCAATTGCTACTAGAAAAACCAAATACATAAGAAGAAATGCAGTTAACACAATATTTCACATATGTTAATGCTTACAGTTCCATCAGTGTCAGCTTTATTTTCTATTTGATATACACCAAAGCTGGCACACAATTTTAACTGATGAGGTAATGTCATTTTTAATTTAAGGAGCCTTAAGCTGTCCACTTTAACTAGTGATATCATCTTTGCAGCTGTCTCACAGGACTTCATGTAAACATAAGTAATGTGCCCTGGATGGTTTGGAGCAGAGTTGTTAAAAATGACATTGGTCATCATGAAGACATTTTTTTCCTTTGATCTCTTTAAAAATGCCAGACACACTTTATTGTCCTGTCATTTTTAGCTCTTCCTTGTATATTAATATGCTTGGAACATTTCAGTAATCATAACAGTAGAATATAAAGGTCTAAACAAATTAATGGCAACATTTTAATGTCAGTCGTAGTAAGATAATGAAAAGTAAATGAGATTGTCTGGCTAACAGCAACCTGTTAAATGAAAGGGCAGCGTGGCTGAGACACAGACCATGACAGACCCACACAGTGGCAGGGAAAAGCCTTTTGCTGCTGTCTGAAAGAGTCACAGGACACAACCCAAGCTCCAAATGCCACCACCTTCTAGGAGAAGATAAAACTGGTTCTACAGATTTGCTCTGATCCTCTTTCCTGTCTGAGGTCAAGTGAACTCATCTGCTAATAAAACTTAAGAACAGACCTGTCTCTGCACCTGCAGCTTCTCCCTCCCTTCATTCTCCATTGCATTCCCTGGGCTGGTTTAGCACCACCAGCCTGCTGGGCTTGCTCTCCTCAGCCCTTGAACACCAAATCTGTCAGACCAGACACCACACGCTGGCATCTCTGGTGACAGGGCTGAGGAGCCCTAAAGTGTTGCTCACAGGCAAACTTTTACTACCAATCATTATTTGGTTATTACATGCTTTTCCTTATACAGTCTTAGGTTTGATGCACATAATCACAGAGGTTTTTAGCCCAGTCTGTCTAGTAATCACATGCTGTACAATATATGAATGTGGGAACATTCACTTCTTGATTCAAATACCTAAGCAAAGGTGATTTGCATTGAAACAAATTTTTTCTGAGAAAAACCAACTGCTGTGACTGACTTGTGGATTTTGTGATATGCTCTAAACTAATTGTCCAGATAATAAGGAAAAGAACAGATTTTTTTTACCACTGATCTGCAGCATCATGGAGTTTTGAACAAAATCTAATGTTCAGGGATTTATTTATTATTCTGTGGACATATGTTTGGAGGACAGCATATGGAAATCAAAGTATTGTTCATAAAGAGCTACAGCCAAGAAGACATTTTTGAATTCATAACAGAACTTCACAGTTTGAAAAGAATGCTATGCATTATGTATTGATAACAACACTACACAGACAAAGGAACACAATTTAATAATACAGAATTGAGCTCTCATTGAAATGTTGATTACACTGTCATAATATAGGCCCTGGAGTTTTTTTTTTTTTTTTTTTTTTTTTTTTGTTAATTGGTTACTTTAGCTGACATTGTCTGCAAGCATAATGGACACCATTCTTCCTAATAGTTCCATGTTGCCAGATGATGTCTACAGACATAATGTAGTCCATTTTAATTATTTCATTTTGCTTACATCTTTCATCATAATGCATTTTCCAAGCAAGCTAGCATTTTTCTTGATTATCTATGTTGTGTTATGGTTTCTAAATTAATTAGGTCTCCTTCTTTCCTGGAAGTTAAAAGTTTCTTCCTTCCATTTATCTACCAGGTATGATTATGTTGAAGTGATTGATGGAGATAATGCTGAAGGACGCTTATGGGGAAAGTACTGTGGAAAAATTGCTCCCCCTCCTTTAGTGTCTTCAGGACCATATCTTTTTATTAAATTTGTTTCTGACTATGAGACACATGGAGCAGGATTTTCTATCCGTTATGAAGTTTTCAAAAGAGGTAAGAAACTATTCATTTTTACATTGTTCATTGTGATTTTTACTTGCATTAGAAAGTTCACCTTAATTCTTTGGAATGGGGAAAATGCATGAAAATGCTTGAAAGAGAAAATCTTATTACCCTAGTCATTCCAAGGTGGGGTGTGTGTTCAGTGGGTGTAAATCATCATGAACCCAGTGGGTCAGCTGCGTCTGAGGGTTGACTCCTTTGCATGAAATATGGTAGTTTTTGTCAGCTGTTTGTTTCAACCATCTTAAAACCATTAGCTTTATAGCTTTCCTTTTTTTTAATAATAATTACTGTATGATTTACAATGTTACTGCCTCAACAGCACTGCAGCCTTGTGAGTCCCTGGGTTATTTTGGTTAGTGTTTTGCTCTGTGTTCCCAAGAGACGGCTGCGGGCTCGGAAAGGACCCGAGTGCACGTGGGCAGCAGATGATGTTGCTGCTGCTTTCACAAATCATGTTTGGGAGGTAAAGGAGAGAAGCAGCTCACACTGATCATGGGCATGACCTGCTGGATGCTCGTGCCAGCAGTTAGTGCCAGTGAGCACAATTAGCTTTATGGGGCACAGAAAACAGAGAGTGCAGGATTAACCAGACAGAGAGACACTCCCTCTTTTATAACACTCTTCCCAAGTCAATCGCTAGAAGGGCTATAAGGTCACTCTTTTTGGCATACATCTTCCCTATAGCTGCATAGAGAGTAATAATTCATGTATTCCGTTTCTGGGGAATACTGGACCAAAACTCATCATATGTGAAAAGACAATAACATTCATTTTATAGGGAAAAATATTGGCTTCAACATCACTGTTTAGGGTCATATTCACAAAAGCAGCTCAAAACTTCTAATTTCCACCACTCCCAATCAGTGTCCCATTTTCAGAACCAATCCAAGTCCCTTTAATGCACCTAAACCAGAGCCAGATTTTCAGCTGTGCTCAGCACACGCTCTTGGTGGCAGCTGTACTGTTAATGAGGAGAAGCACAGTAGTGAAGTCTCTTTTCTATTGCTATTGCTGCTCTGCACAGTGCTAATTGGGGCCACAGACCTCTTGTTCACCATCTTCCCTGTCTGTAAATCCACTCTTGACTCCCAGAAATTCTTTTGTTGACCTTCAGGGTCACATTTTTTGAAAGAATTCAGCATCCAAATGACACCAAGCTTTCCTGAAAAAATATCTCTATTTATTTTGATATCCTTTGGAGCCTAAACTCTTGAAAATGTGTTCTGACGTTTCTCAGTGCTTATATATGCAGTACCATCTTTCATAAAGAACAAGGCTGAAACACAAGAAGAAGTGAAAGAATGATCTGTGAAACAATCTATTTTAGTAACTGAACCCTTTCAAAAAAAAGGTTTTATTTATTTCCTGACAGTGTAGTGACAGCTCAGAACTCTGACAGAAACATTGTGTTTATTTCCTTGTGTGGTCATTTACATGCCTCAAAGATACACATTTACCATGTTAAGATGGCATTATGAATGCGATTTTACACACATGGACGTCAGGAAACGCAAAATTATGGCTCCCAGAGCAACTTTAACTCCAGTTCATTCCACATAAACTGTATATTAAGGCAGGACGGTTATCACCATGCAGTGTTAGAAAATGCCATGTGTACACAAAGGATAAAAATTATCATTGCTGTGGGAGCACAGCCCTATTTAACGTCTGAAAAAATGCATATATGCTGTACCAGTTTTGCATTTTAATATCTGTGCCAAATAAAGCAGTTCACCCTTTTGCACAGGTGAAACTCAGCTGCTCACACCAGACAAGTATGTCTGGTTTAGCATATTCACAACTTAGCTCTTCATTTCCAGGTATGGGAAGAATGATCCCAAGCCCAAGGTCCTGTAGTGCTGAGCCGAAGGCTGAGCTTCATTCCAGCACACAGTCTATTTTTGCCCATTAATCTTTGCTTCTCATTCAGCTCCATAGCCAGAGAGACACTGAAGAAGTTGTAAAACTAAAACAGGACTAAAAAATGAAACACATTTTTCCCAACACTTAGCCCACATGAAATGTTCATCATTTTGGCTTGGGCAAACATTCTATTTTAGGGAGCATGAGTGACGTATTCACTAGGAAAGAATCTACACAGTTCACATTCAACATTCCTGACTTTAGTCAACTAAATTTACAGTGTAAACTGAAAGAAAAGAAAGTGTCAACCAAGAAGGCAAATGATTTTTTTTGGCTCAGTGACACCCACAGATACCAGATTAAATTATCCCCAATGTCATCTCTTTTTCTTTGTTCTCTCTGTAGTTCCTTCAGTTCATATCTCTTCCTTTGTTTCATACACATATACACATGTAGTTTCTCCACCTCAGAAGTATCTACTTTTGGTATCTCCACTGGAACCTTTTCTGCCAGTTTTCCATGCACATTGCCCCATGGAGCTCCTCGTAGCCTCAGAATTGATATAATTCCTGCAGCTGCTTCACAGTGTCAATAAAGGGTCAAAATCTTTGGAGGGCATTTTAGTGAGACAGCTCCCCAGAAAACAGCTTCTGTTTCTTGCACCAGATTGATTCAAACATGTTTAAAATAAAGCAAGCTGGCATTGAGATACTGTGTGAGTGTAAGAGCCTGACGATTGCGCACACTCGGGGCCAGGATCTGGCTGTATTTAATAAAGCAATAATGATCCTGGCTTACATTTTATATTGCATCTTTTATTGGATTCCAAGAGGAGTACAGAGCACTTTATACTATGAATGGCATAGCAAAGCTATTTTATCCTGGAACAGCAGCTACTGGTGGGAGTGAAGAGCAACAACCACAATACAGCCTCCCCTACATGACAAGGAGACAAGGGAATGACAGGGAGAGAAGAGGAATATTCAACTAATGTGTAAGGGGGTGATTTAATTATAGGCAAAATGTAATTTCGCAAATTGGAATGGGTCAGGTTACATGAGCATCAATATCCACATCTTCCAAAACATGCCATGAAGTGTTCTGAATATTGATGTGATAGTTCAAGAATTTCCTCTCAGTGTCTGTTGGAGGGCAAAAATACCTGAACTGAGTAAATTCATTCAGACCTCTCTCTTGCGTGCTGAATTTAGCTGGGAGGTGGCCAGATCTGTGGGGGGTAATATGTTTGGCACATTCACAATGAAAACATTTTCTATAGTGAAATAAGAGTATTCATATATGCAACAAGCCAGACTGTTTTCCTTCAATGATCTGTGTTAGGCATTGGAAATCCTCTAAGATTCCTGACTACAGTCTCTAAGGATGCTGGGCATCCTCATCCAGACTGGGGCCTCACACACTTCATCCTCCTGCACAGACCTGCAGCCAAGCTGTGCTCTCCATGTCCTTCCTCTCCTCCATGTCTGAGGACCTTCATTTGGCCATCCTACCTGAACTCCCCAGGCCAGCTGATATCCACCAATGCCCCAAGTCCTGTAAATCACTCTATTAAATTTGGAGTGTCAAAAGGCAGACCTTGTGGGAAGATGTGTGGGCAGTGCCAGCAGCTGACTTCTGAGCACACCTGCAGGTGTGGGATCCACAGAGAGCATTCCTGAGGGACCTGAGTAAAGAAGAAATAAGACCCATCAACAAGAAAGGAATTCCAGTTTGTCCCCTTTATTCACAAAGGCAAATCTAGTGACCTGGCCTTTTATACCCTCACATCTTTACTGCCAGTTTCCTGCTCCACCAAGAGCACTGTTTGGAGCATCCCATTATGCCATGGTGGGAACATCAGGGAAAGCTGTTGTGTCAACACTGACATTAGGTGGCTTCTAGCAACAGTGCCTGTAATCACACAGTTTATCATGCCCACACTAACAGCAACATTTTACTGGTGCACCTGTGTCAACACCACTCAGAATGAGTCACTCACCCTCAGTACATGTACGAATTACCTTTCACATTTAGTTTGTCAAGGAGGCATAGGTCACATCTGGCAGAGTTACTGAGTCAGTGCTCCAGGAATCTGAAACCACTACTCCCTCTACTGAATTCACTCACCCGCTTTTGTAAAAAGTTCTATTTCACCAATAAAAGCCTGTCAGCTGTAAGATTTAAAGATTTGAGCTTGAAGGGGCTATAATTATTTCTCTAGGGCTCTGTCGAGATTTCTGCAGCTTACACTTTCATTGTTCCCACATGACTTTGTATTTGTCATAATTTTTTCTAGAGCTGGTACAAGTTTTCATATTGTTCCATACAAATTGAAAATTGAAGATCAGACAGTATATGTGGATTGGGCTTTAAATGACTGACTATCAATAATAGGAACAAGCTGGCTGAATGATTAATGCGGCGATTAAAATGAGGTGTTTCATTGAAAAGCCACCTTTGCTGCTGGAGAGACAATACAACCTAATTTGTTTTCCAGCTAACTGCTTTGCTTAGTAGCACAGTGTTAACCCAGTTGATTTTTCTCCTTCTCCTACAGGACCTGAATGTTCCAGAAACTTTACTTCATCAAGTGGAGTGATAAAGTCCCCTGGATTCCCTGAAAAATATCCCAATAGCCTTGAATGCACTTACATTATCTTTGCACCAAAGATGTCAGAGATTATACTGGAATTTGAAAGCTTTGAGCTAGAACCTGATTCAAATACTCCAGGGGGAGCATTCTGTCGCTATGACCGATTGGAGATCTGGGATGGATTCCCCGATGGTAAGAGAAAAATGGACTGTAGCATGCATAACCATTACTATGTCGTGGCCTGCAGAAGCCATAGTCCCATTTTTTAAACCGTCATGCTAGAGAGATCCTTGCTTGATTTATGTGAAGTGAGTTGAATTAAAAAGAAATGGAGAAAATGCTCTGTAAATTCATTCAGTAAAACATATCATAGTGTGAATGTTTTTTGGTTTTGTTTTTTTTTTAAATGAAATATGTTCAGTTTTAACAGTTGGCTTAGCAGAAACCTCTGTGTTCAGTGGTAACATGTGATGAACCTCCTACACCAAAATAAATTAAATGTGAAGTCTTATACTGAGTCCTCAGATTTTCACAGCTAACCCAAGAATATAGTCCAGACATTTCCAACAAATTGCAGAAACTGGACTTTAGGTACTGACCCTCTGACTTGCAAAGGAATTGTGTTACAGACCAGCTGCCACAGCAGAGAATTTCTCTGCCAGAGAAAATGTGGTGTCCATGCAGTTGAAATCCTAGTGACTAAACAATTACCCAGGTCAGTAAACAGTCACTGAGTTATTCATTCAGGTGACTTCAGTGACTGGGCACTGCAGGGTTCCTCCATTATAGTGATCTCTCTTTCAACAGTTTAAGCAAATCCAAAGGTTTTATCTTAATTTGTTAATTTATAATCTCTGATTAGATGGCCTCATGTGTCAGGGTGGGTGTGTTGGGTACCCTTCTGGAAAGTCTCTGCCATCTCAGTAATTTTCCACTTAGTTGCTGACCACACTTGACCTTGTGCACATTCACTAAGTGCATAGCTAGATATTAGCTAACCCTATAGAGCCAGAGAGCCCTCATTTCACCTTCTGCCCAACCCCATATCCCTGTTTTACATTGAGTCTGACAAATAAAATAGCTACATGATTTCTCTATGTTTTTCATGTACAATCTTAGGTCTGCAAGATTCAAATCTCCCCCAGGCAGGGCAGCCCCTTACCAGTTCTCCAAGGGCACAGAGCCAAAGGCTGCAGCTCCAGCCTAAAAGGGATTGTTCAAGCTGAATGCCCAACCTTTAGGGTGCCCAAATGCCTACATGAGCTGTGTGGAAAGAGCTGATTATTAGTGATGCCTTTTTTACTGTTTCTACGTTTGGCATAAGCTGATAAAGAGAAGCATCTTGAAGCTGTCCTTTTTCTTCTTAAATTTGTAGCAAAATTCAGTGACTGAAGATTTATGTTGTTTGTATTGGGCACTAATTACAACTATTTCAATTTTCCACTAGTGTGATAATTCATATTAATAGATTTTTTTTGTTTGTTTTATGAGCAGCAGTGGCAGTTTCTACAAACTGCTAATCCTACATTAATATTTTATTTAAATGAAAATATATAACTTAAGGAATATATTTTAAAAATGCATTAAAACTTGACTGTTTTCCTAAATAAATCCCCAATATAATTTTGCTTAAAGCTTCCATTCGTGCTGCAGGAAATATATGTCTTTTAACATATATTTGCACCTTTTTGTTCATATTTTATGCTTAATGGGTTTATCATGGCTCTTTTCAACCCATTTCAATAAAGAGTGAAGAAAGACCCATAACAGTAGCTAAAAGACTATTTAGTATTTGATGCCTCAATTAGAAAAACAATATTTTAATAGCATAATAATGATGTCTGGAACATTTAATAATAGGTTTATTTGTATATAGGCCAAATCTGTCCTGTAGAGCTTGCATTTAAACTGATATTTGAAAAGATGATCCAGTAAATCAATTTATGTGTAATATAACCAAAAAGAAATGCATTATTGTCAGTGTAGAGGGTTTCAAAGCAGTAATTTCCTGGTTCAAGAAACTGGCTGAGCCATACTGAAGACCAATTATCAACAGGCATTATCAGCCTTCTGCAAACTCTCTGCACTCAAAATCATCCTGACATCCCCTAAGGGTACTTGCATGTTTACTTGTAAATATTCAACAGAATTTGTAGGCTGGAAAAATGTTTTCTTTGATATAAACTGTTGTAGGTTGCAGCAGTTGTAGGAAAAATGTTTGCTGCATCATTTCATTGTAGGATGATCCTCAGCCAGCAGTCAGTCTCTCTTGTTCAACTTAACACTACAAAGAAAGAGGGAATGTGATTGCTTTTCTATAAATGCATCACAGAATGAATCCCTGGGAGGGACAACTATTTCAACTGAAGTGCAAAACAGGAAACCACTGGTACAACCTGGCCATGAACTGAAGATAGAGAATGTCTGGATACTGGAGAATATATACAGAGAGAGTATGGGGAAAAAAAAGTCTAATTTGCATCCACATGGAAATAGTAAATTTCTACACAGTGGTAAATTAGACAGTATGGTTCCCTTTGATGGAGAGAGACTCACCCAGGGTGAGTCTTTGAGCCATTTGTCCGTTTCCCTTTAGTCTGTGCAAAAGTGTTCTCCACTATTAACTGATATTAACAAACGTGGTTGTGTGCACTTCTAATTTGCTGGTGTACTCCCTTGCACAGTTTTAGCACACATCAATTTGCACTCTCCCATGAAATTCCTAAGCATGACTTGGAGAATAGTGAAAGCCAGGGAATATTCTCAACAGGCAAGTTGGACACGGCCAGCCAGTTCCAGAGGGAAGAACCCCACAGGGGCAAGTTGTGTCACTCTCTTAGTCTGGTCCCAGGAGCAGTCCCTGGTGACTGGCTGCAGGTCCAAAGGACATCCCCTGGCCCACTTTGTTTAGTGATATATCCACAGAAAAGAAGTTATTTTTCTTTGTTGTAATGCATTGCTGCTCATATGCCCAGTTGTGTTAAAGCTGCTATTGCATTGATATAAATGTGACAGAAGGGTTTTTTTTAATATGTGGAAAAAATGTTTATCCCTCAGTTCACATCCTCTGCTCCACAGCATCACAGCTGTGGTTTTCTGGGATGATGGGCAGTATTGTAATAGGAGAGAGAACAGTTTTTTGGAAAATAGTTGTGGTCTCAACTAGAGCAGAATTCGGTGGACAGCTCCCTGCACATGCATCTTTGGAAAATAGGCATGAGCATTTGGGCCAGGAAGAGCTAGTCCCTCTGTTTCCAGCAAGGAACAGCTTCCCACTCTGGCCTGTCTCAACATCTACTTTAGGACCCAGTTAAAAGACCTCTGGAGTGTCTTGTCTCGTTGACTGTAGTGAAAGCTATGAATCCCTAAGTCAGATATAAACTTCAGATGCAGAAGTTAGAGCAGATGAAAGGAAACATAAATGGAAAATATTTTCACTATAGAATTTAATAAGCTACAGTCCCTAGAGAACAGCAGGAAATAAATTTGCTGTTTTATAGAGTTGTGATTATTTTTTCTTTCCTTCCCCCCCAAAAAAGCAAAAAATAAAGAGATGTTCTTTTAAACAAATTTTCACAATAATGTTTAAAAGGATATGTCAAAGTCAGTAAGCTTCCATTTACATTTTGCTTCTACATAATTTCCATTTCACTGATGGAAAACAATTTTCTGTTAGAGAATTTGACAGCAACTGTAACAGTCATTCAAGAAGACGTTAATCCTGAAATGCTCTGTCACAATCATGGAGTCCTCAGCCTACCTGGCTGTCCTTTCAGTGGATTGAAGCTGGCAAGTGCTGAGTATTTGCTACTTGATTCTACAAAATACGTGCTTATCTTTGAAGCATGTGAACAGTTAGATTGACTTCAAAAGGAATTCACCAAGGACACTTACAGGACTGAAGTTAAACAGTGGTGTAAGTGTTTTGCTGTTTCAAGAGAGGAATGGTAGGCATTCAGGAAAGTCTCAAACCTGGCATTTTGTTTTGTGAAAAAAACCCTGTTGAGGAATATCTGAGAACTATAGGTGCTTGTTGCAAATATTGTACAGAAAAGGGACCATGGTTTGAAAGAGATAACAGGTGGATTTGGAGCAGGAGAGTGAGTAGATCTCAGAAGAGAAAGATATGATTTTGCATGAATAAACTAGATACCAAAAATATCTTTGCCCAAGGCACAGATATATCTCAGCCAGCATCTGCTGAGAACACTCCATTGATGACTTTGAAGAAAAATAGCCCACTCAAGATGAGGACTAGCTTTAGTGATGAATTGCACATATTCATCATGCAGCTCTCTTTGAAGCTCTATAGGCTGTCTACTAGAGCTCAAATGTAATTTAAAGAAGTTTACATATGGTTTGAGAGCCACAGCCTAAGCATTGCTGCTTCAGTCAATACCACAAGAGCTTCCACTGATTTACAGAGCAAAGCAGAATGCTTTACTGCAGTCATTAACATCAGTGCAAATGAAGGTTGCTATTAATCTGTGTTTCTCCTGTTGTGGTTGCTTTCTACACTCTTGTGAGAAGCCATTAAGATCTAAGAGCATACACAAGCTCAGTGTAGTTGACTACTGGAATGTGAAGATGGAATTAATTTTTTGATTGTTTCTTCTTCAGCATCCTAAATTGGGTGCAAATATTTTTTCAATAAAAATCATAGTGATGTGAAAATACTGTCCACAACATACATGCAAGCTTATAATTCCAAAAGTTAATATTTCAACTAGATGGGTAAAAGTATATTTCAGTAATATTCAGAATTTCCTCATATCAATATTCTTTGTGCAGAAGGGCAAACAATAGTAAAAAAAGAAGAATCAGTAAGGATAAGGTTCCTGTTTAGTCTTGAACCAGCAGCCACTTACTATATATTCTGCACTCTGATCTGTAAACCTTCCAAAATACTTATTAAGACTAATCAAGGATTTATTCAAGCCATAGAATTAGATTCTGCACTTTGGGAAATGCTTGCAAAATAGACCTCTTCATTCTCCCTCCATCTTTTAACCAGAAAGTTACTCAGTTTTCTACTGTATAATACTGTGTCAGTGAGAAGAGCAGCCAAGGTGTCAGAAATTGCTACAGCAGTCAGATGAGGTAGCTGGCTCACCAAAATGCCTTTGCTCTGCAGGTAGTGTAGAAGCATCCTTGAGTGAGGACATAATCCAAGTGACTCACATTTGGAGTAGCCCTTCCTGGGGGATGCTTTCATAGCAACGTGATGGTCCACAGTTAGAGGTTGGTCTAGTGACTTTTCAGCACCTTCTGCCCCAAAATTCCCATTTAGAACTCTACATAGTCTAATGTGAAATCCCATCTCATTTCCCAAGGAATTGTCAGGAAGATGGTAAAAAATAACCAGTGACATAGTCTATCTAAACAGACAGCAGTCTCATCCCCTGAATGACTCCTCAGGTGGGTTTCCTGCACAGCATTTATGTGATGTGGTGACACACGAAATATTTGATAATTTATTGTCATTCAAAAGTTTTCAAGTCTTGAATGGAAAAAAAGAATAGAAGGGAGGAACTTTGTGCTATTTATGGAAGAAGGAGCATTTCTATTTCATCCAGTTTTGCTCAGATCAATATCGTATTAGCTCAGCAGGCTAAGGTTTACATGTTGCACAAAAAAATTCAATACCTCTTTGTGTCATATTCTGCACATTTTTGGCACTTTTATCCACATAGCTGGCAAAGGGAAAAGTACTGTGATGGCAGGGCCAATCTGTTGAAGACTCAAATGCATAATCACTAAATATGTCTTAAAAATTATAAACCAGTGAGTCATGGGGAATCTTAAAGCCTGTCTGCTTTAAACAAAGTTCTCTTCTGTTTGTCCTTTCAAAGAGGTTTCCCTACAGGAAATGGGAGGAGGGAGGCTCAGAGTACCATAACATGGTAGCCTTATCCTCCTTATATTCTTGCAGTTCAGAGCACCATCAGCAGCTATAATCTTGAAAGCCATTCTGAGAAAGAGCAGGATCAGAGCTGTTTGCACATAGAAAATGCAAAAGAAAACAAAAACAAATACAAAACCAAAAACTTGCAGCACCTGGAATGTGGGGCATTATTTTGTGTTTTTTTTAAAGCTGCTAATGGTAACAGTCTAAACAAATTTCTCTCTCTGAAAAATAAAACCATGAAGCTTTAGTGATTTTTAGGATGAGGAAGAACTCAATTCATAGCCTCTATAGGATGTTTCATTCTATCAATGCATTGAACCACCTTAGTGGAAAAAGTCTGAATTGGCAGGTATTTCAAATGCCATGGGATTGCCAAGGCAACTGAAGAGTAACTGTGGCCAGAGCATGAATAGAAAAGGACATGCTGGCAGCAAGAGCTGTAACATCTGAGCTCCCTCTTTCTGGCAATTCTAGGGCCTTACAGAAATGTGTAGCTTACATAAGTAAGTATTAAGTTATTCCAAGCTGGAACTATTTTTCTTGTTGAAAATGCCAATAAATGACTTGAAAATTATGTTAGCTGTAGATTTTCTTTGAACTGTGAATAATTAGTATAGATAAACATTTTATATTTTAAACTGAAAGTGTAATGGACTTTCTAGAGAAATGACAAGGTGTTAATTTAAGCCTGGAAAGCCAGTGGTGTAAGCATCAGAATGACACCTCATGATTATTTTCATGATTGACTCCATGGGTGGGTTTTAGCATTATCCTCTCTTTTTGTTTGTAAGCACAGATGTACCACCATTCCACAGCCTAAGGACCTATCTGTAGGGAATGCTCAAGTGCTAGAAGGCCACATATGTTGGTTGTGAATTCAGTAGCTTAATTAAGGAAAAAGATTATCTCACTGCACAGGAAATGTTGAAAAATACCAAAATCTGGTTTATACAGTATTAACGTGAAGAGAGATCATGTAACTCTGTATGTGTGTGTATTCTGTGACATGGAGATATACTTAAGAAATTCTTGCTCTTTTGAAAGGATTAAGATTTCACTCTCAAATTCTTTTACAATATTCTTTAATATTGACCGTATGGGCAAAAGAGCTATGGGGGTCTGAAAGCCTAAATAAAGGGGGGTGAAGGAGGAATATAGCCATTGGTCGTAGCCTCAATATGAGTCAAAAATGTTTTTCAAAGTTTGAGATGAAATTAACAGATCATCTGCAGTATAGAGCATAAACCCTGGAAGGCACTGTTTGAACCCCTCACAGCATATTGTGTACTAGGTTGGCAAATCAAGCCATTCAGTTGCTCTTGTCATAAATTGGTGCTTCAATCACACTTTGGAAAATACTTGTGGTGCTTTGTATGAGTAATTTTGTGTATCACTGCCCTCTCTGCATACTTTGAAGGACACTTTTCTAAATCCTGGTTCTGTACATTTTCAGAGGTTCATGGAGTGCTATCTGGAGCATTTTAGAAGCGCGATTGCTAGGGTAGGATAAACAATTTATTGTTCATCGCTAAATCATTGATGGCACTGTTATTTCAAGCTGTTACAGAGGTTGACTGTTTCCTGCTGAGGGACTGTCTTTGGGAGGATATTGTAGTGGCACCTATTGTTATAGCAGCGCTGGCAGTTTACTATTGTGTCCTGTTTCTTTGCAGTTGGCCCACACATCGGGCGTTATTGTGGGCAAAACAACCCAGGACGTGTCCGGTCTTCAACGGGGATTCTTTCAATGGTATTTTACACCGACAGTGCAATAGCAAAGGAGGGCTTCTCAGCAAACTACAGTGTGTCACAGAGCAGTGTCTCAGAAGGTCAGTATTTATCTATCCCGCAGAGCTTCTTGGAAAATACTCTCTGTTATGTCTTCTTGCACACCAGGTGTTGTCTGAAGCTTTAAAGGAACCTTAAATAAATAAGAGGGTAGAGAAGGATTGGTTTTGTTTTCCTTTTTTCTTTTTTATTTTTTTTTTAAAGAACAGCTGCCCTTTGAAAAGAAGTGCAAGAAGCAGAATTCTCCTTACAGTTTTATTCCACTGTATTGCTAGGAAGTTGGGATAATTATTGTGAAAAACTGTGCTGACCAAGGAAACGCAGGAATGCAGAGCAATTGAACACTTGCATTAAAACAATGAAACATGAACAATGAATGCACTATCCAAAGCCTTCTTTTATTACATGGAATAAGCTTTGATGATCGATTTCTTGAATAAAAAGAACCCATTTAATATATGTGCTCTTGTTAAACCATTTCATAAGCTAGCTCAGCTTTGTTCTCTGTCTCGTATTTTTTTCTCAGTTGACTCCTTTTCATGCTTACCCTTTGGACAGAGAATGAAATGAAGTGAGGGAAACGGGAAAATAACACGCTGTGTTACACCATGTCCTTGCAGATTTCATTGCTTTCCTCAATGATAAAACACACATTTTATATCAAACTCCCTCTCCTTTCTGTGTCTTTACTGAGTTTTGAGCAGATTCATACAGATTTTATGTAGTTGTTGAATCAAAAAAGAGACAAAAGAAAAATGAGTAAACTGAAAATTTAGCTGTAACTCCCCATCTCTCCTCCACTCCATGCCTTTCTAACAGCTTTCTTACACACATGTAGGCAGGAAGAGGGAATGGGGGACTCACAGCCTCCGTGGATGGGAAGCATTGTATCTTCAGCTAGTTTGGTTTCTCCTTATGTAAGAGCTGCTCCCATCCCTTCATAACTAGCACAAACAACTTGTGTCCCCCATGTCCCCCTCCTCTCCAGGCTGTAGATGCACCATCACACTGGAGTCAGAATTAATAATATCTGCAATGCCAAGATGCCTTCAGCTCTCAAACACAGGACAGCAGAACAGAGGCTGATGTGTATGAAAATCCTTTTGGATGACAAGAGGAAGCATTTTACATGCTGCAGACTTAGACAGAGAAGAGAATTCTCTCATTTAATTTCAGATCCAGAGAAGGTGCAATAAAAAGGAGCAACATATATACAACCCCAACATACATCCAACTCCATTTCACAGAGTTATTTATCTTAAATTCTAATAAATCTTAAATTCTAATAAATTAAATTCCTTCTAATAAAGGAATTAATTCTATTTTATAGTGGGAAGTCCTTGAACAGAAGCATAGGCCCATGGGGCTTTTTCTCTTGCCCTTGTACTGACATGAAGGCCCAGGAGCACCTGGGTGTGAGGATCTGCCTGAAGCTCATGCCTTCTCCTGCCTTAGTGGGGGTTGGAGCCTTTATTTTTAAAGACTGGGAGAATTGAGTCACTCTGCCCTACCAACCTTTGAACTCTCTGTAGTGATTAGGAAGTCAATTGATTCTAAATTAGCTAGATAATTTTTGTGTAAACAAAAAGAGATTGAATGGAGATGATCAACTCATTTACAATAGACCACATTACAGAAGAGCTGGTAATTTCCTTAGGTCAATAATTTTGTGGCCTGAATTCAAATTTTGTTCACCTATTTCATTCCAGTGTCTAGAATCCAAAGAGAATGATTCAAATTTTAATAATATTTTTAAACCATTTTATATTTTTTGTACTGAAGTAAATAGTTTTAAAATCAAATTATTTCATAAAGTTGTCTAGGTTGTCTTTTCTGGGCTTTTGCATAATTTTGAGGTGAAAATACATTGTTCTATATTATGAATCAACAGAAGTGTCTGTGCTAGCCTAGGATAGACACTTCTATTGTCCTATACTGAAACGGCCACAATACTGGGCTAAAATATTTGTATGGCATTATTATTGCAGGAATTGCCATGGCAACTCAAATGGCAGTATTAAGAATGACACCACAAGCCCAACACTGCCTCACTTAAAGTTGCTAAAGTATTCAAAGTCACATAAAAATACATTATTTAGATATTCATATTCAAAGCAGGTAAATGTTCTTATTATTCAAAGTCTAAATAAAAAAGCTGACCATAATAATGATGGTAATTTATTTTTCTTCAGATTTCCAGTGCATGGAACCACTGGGCATGGAGTCAGGAGAAATTCACTCTGATCAAATCACTGTCTCCTCCCAGTACAGCGCTATCTGGTCTTCAGAAAGGTCCCGGCTAAATTACCCTGAGAATGGATGGACCCCAGGGGAAGATTCTATCAGAGAATGGATACAGGTAAAAAGATAACATTTTAAAGACGTTATTAATAATACTCTGTGGAGTTTATTGGATGTGAAGAATGCAAAAGAAAGGAAAAAAATAAAGCAGTGAAGTACTTCTACATAATTTAAGAATCGTTGCAAGTGAATTGCTCATACTCCCCATTAGACAGACAAAAAAAGACTTACTCCCAAGGGCATAGAAAAAGAAAAGGTCAGGAAGATTAATTCTTCTGCTTCCCACATCTATTGTTTTTGCAGTCTTCTGGGCACAAATAACAGAGATTTTGGTTTAGTGGAAAAGTCAATATTAGTTTAACATGCACTTAAAGTGGAATGTCCCAGTAAACTGAGCATGTGCTACGTCTCTAGCTGATTACAGTTAAGCATTAATACAATGTGGTGTTTTCATGCACTCAGATTTCACCTCAGAAGACCTATGTCCCTTCTAGAGTGTGTTGCTCACAGAATGAGCTCACTGGTCTCTGTCTGGTGGCTATTCTTCCACATCCTTAAACACAACATTCATTACCAAGATGGGCTGCCTTGGCTTTGCTCTGTTAGCACAGGAGAAATCCTGCAAACATTTGTTACCATGAAGAAGCTCCTTGAGTTCAGTCAGTCTCTTTGGACTTGTTGTTTGTTATATAGTGTCAGGTCCATAGCTGAATGGTACATAACTCCTGAACAGGTTTAGACTATTCATATCAATTACCATGTACAAAAAAACTACACTAGCAGGCAAGTATTAATATCATTATATGAAGAAACTGATTATCTTAAATTTAAATTGACTTACACTACTTACCTGAAACTTAGGATATATTTCTGTTGGCAAAAGCTTAAGCATATTCTATCTAAATTACTAATATTGAAAACTTGTTCGTAGATCTGAAACATTCCTCCTACTTCTGTTATTTTCTATAGGAAATTACTAACTGACATATGAAAACAATGCCTTATTAGCCTTTCATACAAGTGTTCACACTGATGTTTCCTGTGAGGTTTGATGTCTGCAAGAAAGCTTAAAAACATGTTGAGTAGTAGTTAGTAAAGGGAAGAAAGAGGGGGAAATCTTTCATTTCTGATCCCTGGCACACAACGGGACTCTCAGGTGTCCTGCTTGGGGGCCCCTATGCATCCTGAGCTCTTGGCAGTCGAGTACAATGGACCCAATCAGACTTCAGAGAGGCAAAAAAAAAGTATTTTAAAAAAAATCTGTTGATCCTTTTTCATTATTTAGGAATAAACACTAAAATCTCCTCAACCTTATCTAAGTGCAAGGCTTGTTATTAATCATTGCCACTTGCAATCCATGGAATGCACATGGAAAAAGGGTGGAATGCATCAGAATCAAATTCCACGTCTTTCATCTGGTCACAGTGCGGCCACTTTTCCTTTGTTTCCTTCTTTTCTGCTGTCACTTGCACATTTATGACCAGATAATCAAAACAGGAGAGTTAGTCAAATCTCATTAATGTGTTCTGTGTGTCTATTAACTTTATTACGTTATGATAACTACATACCTATATATTACCTATATATATATGTCTTAATCCTTTCACTTAGAACTAGATCTTTCTGAGAAAGAGTTTCAAAGGACTTCTTTTGACCATAAACTTCTTTAATAACAGACACAGCAGAATTCAAACTACTCCAAGTTTTATGCTTAAAACAGCTCAGGGTACCTCAGGCCTCCTGCACATTAATTTCTCAGCCTCCTTTTCTTCCTGCCATAAACCAGGGTGCTCAGGGCCTGAAAAAACCCCTGACCATAATTTCTAGCAGCTTTTTGCTGCCTTCAGCTACCACATCCACCCAGAACCTGGTGGTTATTTGCATGCTCTGCTGCTCATGCCGCAGCTCTCATCCTCTTCACCCAGCTCCTGGTCTGGAAAAAGCAGCAGGAACCATTTCCCTGAGCAGTCCGTTGGACATCTCATTTGCTGCCTGGGACCCATGTGGAGGGACCAACACCCCCAAGGCCGATCTCATTACAGAGCAATTAGGCTGCAGCTGTGTCCTGTTGGCAGAAAGGAGCCTACAAGTTCTTGCTTGAAGGTTCACTGTGTTGAGTAGAGATGCTTTACACATGCTGCAGAACACAACCTGTGCTGCAGAAGAAACTGAGCCAGTTCAGAGATTCAGTATATCATCCCCTTTCATAAGGTACACCTTAACTCATCTTTGGCTCTGATAATTCTTATTTGCCTCTGATTATGCTTATTGTGGTTTAGTCCTACACTGATGTTGATAATTCAAACTTCCAATTGTGTTCTAAATGCTTTCCTGTTAATTGACAATCTTGTGATGAGTGCTAAGGGCTTCAGACCCCCAGAAACCTCAATAAGAGGGTCCTTGTGCGTATGAACCTCCATCTTCTACAGTCTTGATGCCACTGGCAGTAAGTGCATGTTGTGAATTTGTGTCTGGATAAAATACTGAAGTCCCATGTTTCCTCTGTACAAATATCCCTGGGAACAGATGTTCATCTCCGTAAGAGCTTACAGACAAACAACCAAGGACATGTAACTGATAAAGTACTCTGAAATTACCAATAGAAAAAAAATTGTAATATTTTATAAAAAGGAAGAAGGCGCTTGTATGTGAAGGACTGAGGTCACTTTGTTCTGCTTTGTTGTGCATGCTATTGTAAACTAATCATTTATGTGAAGTATTTGCTTTTGTGCAATGCAGCATAAATGGATTTTTGCTGCACAGTGCAGAACTCTAGAAGATATTCAACAGCAAAAAAAACAAAGCTGAAAGATACCGCAATGCTGAACTTAGAACTTTCAAAGTGAAAATTTCTGCCTATATGCCCTTGTCTGAGAGACAGAAGTTTTGTGTGTATCAGTCAACCATTAATTTTTTCATAATTGCAGGTTTCCATACCTACACAAACACTGCAGCTGGTAAAATAGTGATATCTGTCTTTGAGCTAATGTGCATATGCAACTAGGTCATCTATATGAGCTGTGTACAGTCATACATGGGCAGAACAGCTTGAAAATTCAGCTCCAGATATTAATTTCCTCAGTGTGTTGGGGTTTTTTTTGTATAGGGGAAATATTATAGTTCTCCTTTCTCTTCCTTTTACCTCTCTTCAAGGTTATTGTTTTTGTTAAGACAAAAGAAACAGAAAATCTGAGTATCAGCCAAAGGAGATTGGTATCTATAGAGGACGTCTAGAGGGCATGAGATATTATTGTCTCCTTTGAGCTGTTGAAGTCTTTTGGAATATTTTGATGAAAATAATTAGGAAAATAGTGTTGGCTCATTATTACTAATGGATTTGCATGAGTTCCATCTGTGGACCTGAATCCTATTCATTTGTGGAAAAACTAGATTGCTCCTTTGTGGCTGACAGGTATGAACTCCTGAGTCCATCTGAGTTCCACCTGCTTACAGGGCTCTGCTAAGTGAGAGTTGACTTTCCCCTCCTTTCCTTAATTGTTTGAAAGTCAATTTCAAAGCTTAGATTCAAAATAACCATAGTACAGTCACACTGCAAGTCTGCACACCACTTTATCCATTTTATTTTTACCCTCAAACACACTTTGAAAATTGCTCAACTAACATGAGCTTTGGAGTGATTCCTTAATCAGAAACAGAGTCGCTCTAGATTGAATTTCTTCTTTAAAAACACATTAATAAGTCTGTGAATTTTCCAATATGAATGGAATAAAGACATGCATGAGGGAACAAGGGCTGCCAAAAATATTTGTGAAGGTAGTTTATTGTTATATGGGATGTTATTAGCATCTCAACCTTAAGCCCAGCCTACTTGTTTATTGCACTTATGTTTCACACACTTGACTGCCCTTCAGTTTGAAACAGAATAATTTAAGATAAAAAATAAAGCCAGACCTTTAATTTAATCAAGAGCAGGGAACTGCCATTGCAATGTAAGTCATTGTCCCTCATTAACGTATCCTTTCACAGGAAAAATAGTATAGTGTTTCCATTTCTGTAATCTGAACAACAAACATGTTAATAGGTATCAATTACCAGCCAGTTTCAGTACTTAGAACCAGTAAGAAGGTCCATGCAAGGGTTTCACATCTGGTTTTAGTGAAATTGTTCCTGTCTGTGGTATTTAAAATTTAAAGAACTCCTGTTATTGTGCAATTGGGAATCCTAGGGGAGTACAATGTTAATGAAATCCATAATGCACAAGGATTTTATGATTGCATTTTCAAGGCGTTCCTTCAAAAGGGACAACTGATGCCTGCCATGGCAGCAGTAATTGTGTTTTTACAGAGTAGATTTAATGTTCACATTTAAGAAAGCAGTTACATTTACACTTACCTGAAAAAATAACATGCAAAATCTTTATACTTAAGGGTCTTTTTGCATCTTATTTCTTAGTCTTTTGAGTAGGAGCCACGGGCCATTGTGCATGGCAAGCCCTTCTGGCTCAGGGATGCCCCTGGGTTGTGGCCAGCAGCCCCAGGGCAGGAGCAGGGGGAGTTCCAGAGGAGCCCCCACAGGGACACTTGAAACCCACGTGTGTGGCTTTGGGGGGAGACTGATTGCCTATTACCAGGGTCACTGGGAACCTCAGCTGCCATCAATCCTCATCATGGGGTGGGTTTTCAAACCCACAAGGAGCAACACCTTCTGGGTACTTTTACTGCAGGATCTGTATGTTTTCTATCAAAATGTTTCTTCAAATGCATATAACACAAATGTTTGTGCTCCCACCAAGCTGGATGACAGTTTCTGGGTGGCACAATTTTTCTCTCATCCTGTGAGTGAGACCTCTAGCTTGCCCAGAGACCAAAATGTGTTTGTTAATAACATGAGATGTTCAGTTCACATTATGTCTGGGGTAGGAGAAAACCATAAATACAGCTTTAAGAATCCTGGTATCAGATCAAAACTTTGCAGCCACAAACCAAAAAGCACTAGTATGGTATAAACACACTCTGCCTGTTCAAATTTGTTCAAAAACATTAACAGGGGGTTAACATAAGTAGACAGTATGCTCTGGATTGAGCATTATCTGTCATT